CCCCAAAACCCCAAAACCCCAAAACCCCAAAACCCCATATTTCAACTTCTAGATTGGTTAGCTATATAAAATTAAATATGAACAAGAGAATAGCTCATATTTTTGTGTTGAATGTCATTCTCATAGCCTCACAGGGTGAGGCTGGGTTAGACTCAAGCTATGAGCAACCTCCACAGTTAAATTTATCTGAGGTAAGCTTTAAATACATTTTTCTAAAGTTTCCATTACTTTTCAAAATGGAAATGAATTCATCTAAACATTACCCTTAAAGGCTCAAAGGAAAGAATTAGAAGATATTGATCTTCCACAGGATTTTATTAGTGAAATAACAGAGCAAATTGATGATATGAGTGCCAAAATTCAGCAAAATCGTAGAAAAAGATATTTTCAAGACCATGAAGAAGAAATTCACCTAGAAAATGGACTTTCAAATTCATCTTCCTCTAATAGCTCCAAAAAGGGAAGGAAGATGGTTTATGAGATGAAGGATGATTCTGAATATGTCTCTGAGAACCTTTATTTTCGCCCAATCAAGATCCTCCAGATCCCTCTCAGTTTTGAAAATATTCTTGCGTTTGTTGTCATAGTTGCCTTAGCAGCTTTGGGAAATATTTATCTCTGGAAACTCTTCTCAAAACAACGCTGCAGTTGCAAGCTATGTGAAGGAGTATATGAATTAGGGGAGAAAATAGGTGATGGAGGTTTCTCTAGTGTCTATATGGCATTCAAACAAAGAACAAATCAGCAGTTTGTTCTCAAAAGGATAGAAATGAGGGACATTACTGAAGTAGATGAGGTCCAGTTTGAGGCTAAACAACTCATTCCTCTCTCTCATATGAACATTGTTAGCTATGAAGATGACTTTATTCACCATGATTTTACAACCCTTGACACAAAATTTTCTTACATCCTAATTATGGAATACTGAAATGGTGGAGATTTGACTGATAAAATAAGAGCCGCTTGTGAAGCAGACAAACCTTTCTCTGAAAACCAGCTCATGGAATATTTCTGCCAGTTGTGTCTGGCTGTGAAGTATATCCATAGCAGAGATGTGATCCATAGAGACATAAAGAGCCCAAATCTCTTTCTCTCTGATGAACATTATCTCAAGCTAGGAGACTTCGGACTCAGTACAAAAGGAAGGTCTGTGAGAGATAAATCATGCATTTCTAGAGTTGGAACCGACTGATATATGGCGCCTGAAGTCAGAGATGGAAGCTACGTAGACAAAGACAGTATGAAAACAGGTCGCAAATCTCGAAAGAACCTATACCTCAACCTAAAGCCCTCAGATATCTGGTGTATTGGGCTCATTCTCTTTGAAATGGTCACTCTAATCCCAGTCTGGGAGTTGAAATTTGATATCACCTTAAAACTGATATCTGACCCAGATGAAGTCTGGAAATTAGTCGATGATCTTACCTACTACGATAGCCAAGTAACTAGCATCATAAAGAAGTGTCTAAAGATTGATGCAAAGGATAGGCCAACAATTCACCAGATCCTTAAAGGAAAGTTTGTCAAAAAGCACTTAAAATACCTTGAAAAGAACAAGAAGAAATACAAGAAAAACGAAAGCATGAAACTTCTTGAAGAAGGACAAATCTGGTCTAGACAAGCAAGCAGTGATGATAGCTACTTTGGATCAGATAATAATGATGAAAGTGATATTAGTGTGTATGTAGAAGACCAAGGCAGCCTCCTCGAGCCAAAGAATCCCAGAAAACAAACTAGAAGAAGGAAGAAAAACAAGAAGAAGAGATCTAGATAAGAAATATTTGGATTAGTTTGAAATCTGTTTTAGTAAAATTATACCATTGAATTTCTTCGAAATAGGCATTTTAAGTTCTTAAAGGGGTTTTGGGGTTTTGGGGTTTTGGGGTTTTGGGGTTTTGGGG